CCTTCTTAAGTCGACAAACATAGTTCGAAAATTCTTTGGAGATAAAGCCTAGGGGTTGCTGCATATAGATGTCTCGATCAAGCTCACCATAGAGAAATGCATTTTGTACATCTAATTGCCACAATTTCCAGCCTTTATGAGCAGCTAATGACAATATGGTCCGAACATGAACCATCCGAGCAACAGGACTAAATCTCTCTTGATAATCTTCATTATACTTTTTAGAAAAACCACGAACAATAAAGTGAGCTTTAAACCTATCAATTGTACCATCAGGCAACTTCTTTAATTTGTAAACCACTTGCATGTGATTAAATCAACATCTTTTGGCTTAAGAACAAGCTTTCAAGTGTTGTTCTTTATCAAGAATGAATATTCCTCCTCCATTGTTTTTTTCCAGTGAGGAATTCCTTTTGCAGCATCATAAGTTGAAGGCTTATCGCCATACTGATCAGAACTAAGAAAACAAGATATCACATGAAAATGATTTACTTGATCTTCATAATCTGATAAATGGGTAAACTGTTTTCTCTGTCTGGTAGATCTACGTGAGGCTAATTCAATGCCATCATTTATCCTCTCATCAACATTTTCATCAGTATGTTATCCCCGGGAACATTTAAACATGAAGATGACTCGTTATCTTCATCGAGGGTAACTTCTGGAGTAAACTTAAGATCCATTGTGCTATTATTGACAACATCATTATGAAGCAAGATCTCATCAAATACAACATCACATGAGACAATAACATTGTGGGTTTCAGGATCCACACACCTTCACCCTTTTTTATGGGTATCATAAACCACAAAGATAGTACACCTAGCTATTGGATCAAGTTTTGTTTGTTTTTTTCTTGACCACATGAACATAAAAAATGGACCCAAACACTCGAAATAAGTTACGTCAGGTTTGTGACAATATAACAACTTAAAAGTAGATGGATCTTTTCCAAGCCATTGAGACAATCGATTTGCAATGTGACAAGATGTGTCAAAAGTTGCAATTTATAATTCTCTAGGAAGATTCTTTACATGTATCCATGACAAAGAAATAGATGTCAAGTGAGCTATCTTGTGCTCCATCACACCATTCTGCTGTGGGGTGTCTCGACCAGTCCTTTGTTGTTGGATCTCACGTTCTTTGCAGTAATTCATAAAATCAGCTACTAAGAATTCTGATCCATTATCAGTCCGCAAGCACATAATGGACCTCTCAAACTCCTTCTCTACTATTCTTGAATTGAACAAATTTAAAAAAACTTCAGATTTGCATTTTAAAAAATAAACCCAACTATATCGAGAAAAATCATCAACGATCACCATCGCATATCAAAAACCAGAATAATAGTGTGTGTTGGTTGGTCTCATAATATTTACATGCAGTAATTTTAATGGATTAGATGTTTTATTAGAATAATGTGGAAAAGGCAAGCGATAGATTTTCCAAAGTGACAACCTGGAAAAATCTCATCACGAATTTTTTCAAAAACTGGCATTCCTTCGAGAAAGTGCTTTGGAAAAATCTAGTATAATAATTGAAATCCAACATGACCCAAACAAGCGTACCAAAGTCCAGGATTTTCAACTTTACTAGTTCTCTGAACATATGCATCGCCAGTGGATAAAACATATAGGGTGTGTTTGTTTATGGGTTTAGGATTTTGGGTTTGGATTTTTGAATAGTAAAAAGTTGAATTTGAATAATTATTTGATGTAATATTTTGAATGTAAAATAAATTTATAGTATAATATAAAAAAAAAAGTAATTGTTTGATGTGATGTTTTTGGAGAGAGAAAAAAATCTCAATAGTAAAAACTTGTAGTAAAACCCACAAAAAAATACAACCATAGTGATCCTTTCATTTTTCCAGTAAATTGAACATCAGCATCGATACTTCTAACATTAAGAAAATATCTAAACAGCATGTGGACCAAAGAGAACATACCTTTCCGAGTCAGTTATCTAAGAAACTGAATCAAGATTTTTTCTCAGGCCAGGAACATGATAATCATTTTCTAGTAAAATGCCTCCATCCTTTGATTTCACATTCTTTAAAGTTTATTTCTGTCATTACATAATGTAATGGATTATCTGTTGTAACAATGACTTTCCAACCCTTTATGTGGACGTACATAAAAAAAAAAAAAAAAAAAAAGATCAATATCTCATGTTGCATGATGGTAACAACCAGAATCAACAATCCACTAATGTCTATAATCCATACCATCATCTACAGGCAAAGTTTCAATCTTCTGCACTACAGAGGTCACATCTGCTAGTTGTTCAATTACTTCAATAGATAAATAATTCTCCTATTTCGGTTGTTGAGATTCATTGGTCTCATGTGCAACATTCACTGTTACCTCCTGCAATTTTACACAACAATTTGACTTAATCTGTCCTGACTTTCCACATCGATCATATGAAACTTTTACTCGACAATCTTGTTTGAAATGCCCCATCTTGCCACATCTAAAGCAACCTTTATGGTTTTTCTTACTCTACTTCTCTGATTTTGATTGTCGTGTAGAACTTGTAGAAAAATTTGATAAGCCTCGTGACCTTTGATCCTTGACATAAAGCGTACTCTCTGACTGTGAAGAAATATTAATTTCCGCCAATTGTTTTGTCAAAGCTTCCTGATTGGACAAAAGGTTTTCCAACTCGATAATTGAGGGTTGAGTTCCCTAACATTGTATGGAATGTACAAAAGGCATGAACTTATTTCGTAAGCCTTGAATAAGATAACGACGTAAGCAAGAGTCGTTTATTGGTACTTTAAAAAAAACACTCTTCAATGGAAATATTACCCTGACTTGTAGCAGCAAGGTCATTCTCCAGAAATTGTAAACATATTGTATTCTTCCTATTAAACAACGACTCAAGCATCTCCCACACCTCCCGTGGTGACTTCAAATCACGGACATGCTCAATATGCTCTTTATTGATTGATGTCCGTAATATAAATAGAGTTTTCCCGCATTTAATCTTCCATTTTCGTAGTGGCTCAGCATTTCTGCTCATTTCCGACACAAGCTCCCACAAATCTTGCCCTTGTAAAATACACTTCCATACATAATTTTCAGTAATTGAAATTATGTGCACCAAGTTTTTCCATGGAGCCACCAGAAAAATTACTTTCACCGTTCATCTTGATTAAAAAACAACAAGCTTTGATACTATGAAACAAATAGCGCAGATGATGCAGAGAATTTTTACACAATAAAAAACTATGTACCGCTCATATGCAGAAGAAAAATAGAACAACGATTACATATTTGATAACTTATAAAAAATTTAGTGCGCCATCAAACCAAGAAGGAACTGAAAAGGACGCAATCTGACTCTAAACAAATTAATCCTCCAAATTAAAGTTAAATAATAAAAATATTAATTTATTTAAACAAACTCCAAATAAAAATTAAGAAGAATAAAAAGATAAATTTCAACGGAAAGATTGCACTAATTTTTAACAAAAAAATTCTGAAAAAATCAAAAGAAGTCAGCCAATGCAAGATATGACAGAAAAACCAATGGCCACGACCGAAATGTGGAGAAAGAATATTAGTTGATGAAATAACCAACTCCTAAAAATTAGGAACCAGACGAATTCCTAATTTTTAGGACATATAAAAAGTTTCTAGGAACCAGACGAACTCCTAATTTTTAGGAGATATAAAAAGATTAAAAAGCACGTAGTACCAAACACAATGAATCACTTATCCAAAACTTCTTATTTTTTATTTTTTTAGTAGTTTATTCTTAGTTTTCGGTTTAATGTTTATCTTTTTAGTAATTTATCTTTAATTTCAATAATCTATTATTTTTACTTAATTTCTATCCATGTTTTTTGTTAAATTTGACTTTTTTTAGCATAATTTTACTTATTCTAATAGATATTATCTGGAAAATTCGTAGATCCGAACCCAGATGCTCGACAACTAAAGTTGTCTAAAGTGCAGGACTTAATCCGACGACAAACATACTCTTTGGAGTGATGTTGAAACTTTAATTGCTTGATCTTTTGCGAGAAGAAAAATTCAATTTCTGTTTCAACACTATTTGGATATAATCAAATAAATATTTGAAATTGAAAAGTCAGTTCAATTCAGCAGTTCATCGATTTGGTTGATATTCCGGTTTTTAGCTTACCCTAGTGTTGATATATGTTGTTTTTATCTTGCTTTGCATTAATGACGCAAACAGTTAGATTTGAAAATGAAAACCACACGTTGCATAGCTAGCTCTCTTCTTCTTTAATGGAGATCAAAACGAACTTTCAAACATTGAGCAACCTTCACTGTACAGTTAGGGTTGTTTTCATGTTTGGTAATTGAGTTTAATTTGAGTAGGTTTTTGGATCTGATTTTATATTATTTATTTCAAAAATAATAATAATTAAAACTTTCAAATTAAATATTTATTTTTTATTTACTTATATTTTTTTCTTTAAAAGTATCAAATCAATTTTTTATTTATACTATATTAAATATTATTCTAGTTCAAAATGAGGTTAGGGGATGTTTTTATTTCAAGTCAACTTATTAGATTAACAAATTCAAAGATCTTGCAAAATAGAACAGAAACTTGACAAATTTAAACTTTATTGGAAAGTCTAGTTAATTTTCTTTTTAAAATAATAATAATAATGAAAAACATTTTATAAACTGTAAAAAGACCATCAATAAAAATGAATTATATAAGTAAATATGAGTCATACCAAGGGTGGAACTTTATGTCTATCAGGAAAATATATATATATATATATATGTTTTTGGCTCGTTTAGCTTAGCAGGTAAGCTTTTATTGACGTTGGACACATACAACAACTTACAATCTTCTTACAATCTTCTATGTCGACTCTTGAGATGTTCAGACAAAAAGGATGATCTTTTCTTGATCTACGCCAATTCAAAAATACATAGTATACGAGCATCCAAATCAACAAAGATTGTTATATATGAACACTGAAGGGCAACAATATTTCAAATTTGAAGTTCAGACAAAAAGGATGATCATTGCAACGAGATCTACTTTACATTGTATAAACTTAAAAAAGCCAAACTAAGCAGCCACTCCAAAGGGTCGAACATAAACAGCGGTAAAAGAAATCAGGAAACAAGTCAAGTCGAGCTAGCAAGCTTCATTGTACAGTAAAAGCAGTTTCTCAAACCATACAAATTTTGTCCAATTCCCTTACGGCAAGAACTTACCTTCGAACAAATATTCCTATTTGCAAAGCAACGTCTCTTTTGTTTCGTTGCCGGTTACCGGATTCACCCTGGCAGTAAATCATCGAGAATTCAAAAGGGGGAATATTACTGATAAAAGATTTATAGCTGAGCTAACTTGTTACCCGTCAGCAAATTTACAGAGGTATTCTCGCTGGTCATCTCTCAACGGAACATCAGTGAAGTCTGGCAAAGAATGGAATCAATCAGTTAAAAAATAGGCTAGGTTTGTTCACCCAATCAATTTTTTTGCTGACTAATTCCAATATATATAATAAAGTCAATAATTCAATAGAAAATATTATATTTATATTACAAACGGTCACGCAAAAAAAAAATAAAAATCTCAAACTAAAATACTAGACAAACAAAGTCATCAATTCTCGGGATAAATTTACAAGAACAAAGAATAGCTTTGACAATACCTGCACCGGTGATGGTAGAACCCTTGAAAGATGTATTGCCCGTTGCAAGTGCTCCTTCGAGGTTAGCATTGGTTAAATTTACCTATCGATGGAAGGGTGTCATGCCGTGAAAGAGGTAAACCGTGATAATATTAGTCGAATATGCGTAGGTAGCACCAACAAGAATGGAAATCTGACATTTATAATCAAAATCAGCAATTATTCTTTCAGTATAATCATCGTATTTTATTTGATAGTCACAATTGATCGACATCCATCTGCATCTAAAACCGTAAAACACAAATGGTGTAATTAAAAATCATAATCAAAAGCAGTAGCACCTTTGTCACATTTGCAAGAGAGAAATCAGCACCTCTAAGATCTGCATCAGAAAGATCGGCTCCTGAAATATGAGACAAACAATATATGAATGGAACGGGTAAATAATGTTATGCGTGGAAAAGAAATGTCATTGACCAGTGCACGATGTCAACTCTTCAACCTCAAACCAAGGTCGATGAACATCTCTTTTAGTGCATAAACACTAAGTTCTTACAATGAAGAAACAAACACAGCATCCTCAAATTCCTCCAGTGACAAATGGAATTTTCATTCCCCATACTTACCAAGAATATATGACAGGAAACTAGTTTCACAATTCGAACAAAGTCAATTTTTGGTCACATATATTTATTTATATGTATGGCGGCAATTACAGTGTTGACTGTAAGTAGTTGACCGCACATAGATATTATATACATGGTACATACTACAGTTGATCTCAGTACACAAAAAATATTCACACAAGAAAGCGTTTTGAGATAGAGAACAGAATTGTAAAGAAATAATAGTTAAAGCCATATAATTGAAACTGATTATTCTATTTAGTAAAGCAGAAAAATCACTTAGAAATGTAATAGAAAAATGTTTAAGAAGGAAAAAATGAAAAGTACCCTAATCTTCACTTATCAGGTCCTAATAAGCACCATAATCATTCCCATATATATATATATATATAGATTTTGTGCAATCTTCACTTTCTTTACTAAATACATACACCATCGTATACAGAGAGAAATGAAAAGTACCTGTTAAATCAGCATCAAAGAAGCTAGCTCCGAGTAGCTTGGCGCCTTTGAAGTTAGCTTGCCTTAGTATTGACTGAAATCGAAACCACCGCAAGCTAATATGCAATTTTTTAGACATAATATCAAACCGAGAATCATCTTTTTGCAGGACATTTCACACATACATTTTTTAACATTAAGGGCCATTTTAAACCATTGAATTTTCTCATAAAATAGCCATCAATGAAGATAAGAAAATTGCAAGCCAAACTTTGTAGCAATGGATTGTTAAGAAAAAGTTTTAAATGAACTCTTCGGTCGGTATGACTTGTTGGAGATTTTTCATTACATGAATTAACAAAACAAAATATGAGAAGTTTATATCGGCAAATGAAAAAGATGTTGCCTCAATTGGACGGTAAATTCCATCCAAAGCTAAATAATAAATATGAGTGCTTGAAGGGGATTGTGAGCTAGCATTGCAAAAGTAATCCAATCTAGTTCGAGAGAAACAATTAATTGACGTAGTAGGTTATTGCATTGAGTAAAAAAAAACTACTAGTGCCAAGCTACCGTGAGCATGCAGTTAAGGCCTATTATACTCTTCAACTCCCAAATTGTATAACTAGAGCCGTAAAATAAACAAATTATTCGCAAGTTCAACTGCGTTACGTTCAGCTGTTTGAACTTGTTAAGAGCTCTTTAGCTAAGCTATAAATAAACAAACCACACACAAACATAAATTTTAGTTTATTGGATTCAGGAAGAAACTCGAGTTTGTTTGTGAATGATGGATAATAGTGTTTATTAAAAATAAATTAATATTTTAATATTTATTAAATGTATATTTTATATTTTTATAATATATATGCTCCGTTTTTATTATAAAAAAATATTTTTATTTCTTTTTCTAATAAAAAATTATATAGATATATATATATTTTTTATATTTTTACTATTAAAAAATTAACTATTATTACCTACTTTTATTAAAGCTTTGCCCACCATTTGATCACATATTTGAATAACTTAATTCTAATTATTACACAACTATTCAATAAATAATACTCCATCTGCTCTCATTTCAATTGTCTCATTTTTTTTTTGTTTCATTGACATGTTTTTATTTCTAGTAAACATATTTAACAAATATAAATGAACTTAATTAACTTTATATAACATCATACATCATAACCACTCAAAACTCTTTTATAATAAATATTTTTATTTATTTGTATTATTTAAAATTTTATTCTTTTACAATGATATCCAATTTGCATATATTTTTATTAAGATATCATGCTTAAAATATTTAAACACATATTTTAAATTTATTTTAATCATCTATATTAATTCTTATTTTAAACAATATTACTTATATAAAAATATAATAAAATAATATTATAATTCACTATTATTAGCTAATTAAACATTATTATTTTAAATATTTGTGTTTCAAATCAAACTAGTCATTTCAAATGAGACGGAAGTAGTATTATGAATTAAAAAGAAAATATCACTTATGAGAGATTACAAACAGAAAATTGCTTACGGAGTCAAATTCAAACAAAAATTTTCACTCATATATCTTAACAAATAAACACAAGTCAAGTTCAAATCAAAATTTCAGCTCATAGGCCTTAACATGCGAATGCAGGCCGAGTTTTCGATCCGAGCTCAAACATAGAAAGCTCGGGTCAGTTCCCCTTAGCAGCTCTATGTATAAATAATCGAACAACTAATATGCACTGTGCACATATACATAGAAGAAGTCTAAAATGTAGCAATGGAATACTACTTAATTACATCAAATCAAAACAGTTATAACATCTAGAAAATGCAATCAGCGATGAACAGCATTCATTAATCAGAAGACAGAAATTAATAGGCGAAGAAATGAAATGAAATGAAATGATGTACGTACAGTCTTGAAATCCTGCTTGATCAAAGTCTGGCCACTGAAATCTTTCCCAGTCAAATCCTGTCCCCTCGTAACTTCAGAGCCATAGGGTCCTCCACCCTTCATTCATTTCACCCCACCCCACCCATCAGATACCTCAAAATTGCGCACCCAAAATCAGATCGGAACCAACTACTACAATTTAATTACCTTAAATGCAAGGGCGGGATCGGAAGCAAATACAAGTGAAGCAGATAGAATACACAGAAAACCTGCTTTAGAGATCGATCCACTCAACGAAAAGCAATTCTGTGAAAATAAGGGGGGGGGGGGGGGGGGGGAATTGTAATTAAATTGTCGATTGGCAAGAAGTTATTCTGGAAGTGAAGTGAAGTAGCTTACCTTGAGGTGTGAAGAAGGGGGAATAGGTTGAAATGGAGGAGGGAGAAAAATGGGTTTAGTAATCGGAGGGGCTTTGGAGAAGAAGCAGACGCTCAGAACTGCCATTGCTGAATGGTAAGGATGGATGATCGGTACGGTTGTATGATATGATTATCCAAAACTAAAAAAAGAAGAATAAAAACTAGTACTGGGACTGACACGTATTGTGATATTTCTAGCTGAAATACGGCCGTGTTGTGAGGGAATACGGGCGTGTTGGGTGCGTCAGTCAAATGTCGATTGAAATTCAATAACGGTCACGGTCACGGTCACACAGGCGAAGGTTATTATAAGGGTGTCTCGTTGGTGGGGTTGGAGTTTGATCGTATGACCATGAAATCGGAGGTTCAAACTCAGTACATTGTATTAGAAAAATATCAAACTAAAATATTAAAAAAATACACATATATATAAATCCAAGATAACAATAAAAAATATTTATATTTTTGTAAATAATTTGAATGGAATTGAATGCAAGAAATATATATTTAATAAGTGATCAAAATTTTGATTAATTAAAATTATTTCCGAACATAGTAAATTGAATTGAGTTGGACTCTAATTACAAATATATTTAAATGTAAATATATTGATTAGTAGTCTCTCATTCTTTTAATTTTAATGAAAGGTTTACTCTTAAGTAATTATATTTAATATTAAAATTATTTTTATATTTTTTCATCGGGCTTGGTTTGCAGGGTATTAGGTTCGACTGGAGTTTACTCAATGCGCATTTTCGGGTAGCCACGTCATCAAAAAGAATAATAGAAAAAATAAAAAAATATCCTTATATTTAAATAATTTTTTGTTTTACAAATATCATTCTATTAGTATTATAAAACTATTTTTGTCATTTTCTCTTGATTTGCGGTATATTTTGATATAATAATTAATATTCAAATATGTAACCTTAGAGCCGAATACAATTAACTAGAAAATAATATAAATTTGGAATTGAATTGAATTGAATTAAATAAATATCAAATATTAGTGGTTTGTTTTCAATTTTAAACGCAAATCAATATTATTCAATTCAATTAATAAAAATGTAATATTTTTTTCTATAAAATATCATATTTTCTCTGTCTAAAAAGAGGGTGACGTTTTTCATTTATGTCGATGTCATTTCATGATTTAATAATTGTATTATCCACTTAGTATAATAAATAATCTTATAATTCACAATTTATTACACATATATTACTTTCTTCGTCCCATAGTATCCATTTTTCTATTTTTGTCCGTCTCATAACAAAGTATTTTTTTTAGTAATCGTAGTATCGGCCTAACATTACAAATACCTTTACAACTTAAAATATACTACACAAATGTCATTACATTTTATATTATACAATATTAATAAGATTATTTTAGTCATTTCTACTTTATTATTACTACACGAGACGGAAGAAGTATTATATTATTAAAAATATTGGTATTTTTATTTTTTTTACTATAGATTAATATAATATTAATATTTAAAAATTTAGGGCATAAAAGATAAAACATTCTTTTTTCCATAATGACAAAACATTTTTTTTTTTCATAATGGAATTAAACTAAATATCAATACAAAAATTATTTGAATTATTCAAATTGATTCTTTTTTTTCTTTAATGACGTGGGAATGCAGCCGCTATCCGCTGTCCGCTATCCGAAAGTGCGAAAGTGCGCCACTGGATAAACTTTCAACCAAACTTAATACCCTCCAAATTAAATTTTTTTAATTAACCAAAATTTTGATTCAATTCAATTAGGCGGTTTAGTTCGGACTTATTGCTTATCCCTAAAAAAGTTACATAGAAAGTCTTATTATTACTATTATAAACAATCAATAAATTTAATACTAAAATATATATGTACGTTTTCACTCACATATTAATATATCAAATTATTTTTTATTGTCCAAATTAATATATACTTCCTTCATTTTGGATAAAATGACTCATTTGATTAAAAATACAATATTTTAAATAGTAATCCCCCCGTCATAAACATCGAGCAATATTTATTTTTTGATATGTTCCAAACACTCTACAATATTTTCAAAATAAAAAATAATTAATTATACCTAATCTCTACCCCACACTTTATCCCATCACATCATCCAAATAAAAAATATATATATATATTTCTCTCTTCATCACATCACCTAATTTCTAAATTATTATACTTAATACTACTCACCTAAAAACCCGTGCCAAAAATAAATGTTGCACATTGTTTGGGACGGAGGAAGTATAAATTAGTAAAATTATTAATAATAAATTATATATTATTTTATTATTTTTTATATGAATAATATTATTAGTATTTTAAAAGTATAAATTAATATATATGGTTATAATTTAGAATACGTGTTTAAATAATTTTAACATTATATCTCAATAAAATATATTATACAATATGAATATAATTTTATAAATAATAAAATTGTATATAATGCAAATATATATTTATAATTAATTTAAATTAATTTTATAAAAAATTGGGAGATTTAAATATATATATATATATAATATTTATTTATAAAAGAAAAAGATAAAAAAAAATAATAATAATTCTGAGTGAATTTCACATGTAATATGTTAAAAAGTTAATTAAATTAATTTATATTTGTTGACTATATATTTAAGATAAATAAATTTATTAAAAATAAAAAATGATCATCTATATTAAAAAGGAGACAAATGAATTATTTATTTTTTTTATTATTATTTAATAATGAATGCGGATCACAAAAGCATTGTTGTCCATGTATTTTTATTCTATCATCTATTATACATAATATTAATATTCTTCTGTCAACGAAAAATATATATTCATTATGTTCACTAACAAAATATATATATATTTGTATTTGAGTTATCTTATTATAAAGTAGTTATTTCAAAAAAAATTACTTCTTTTTATAAATATTTCTATTTTATCATATTATTATTTTTATATAAAAAAATGACAAAATTGTATTTACATTGCTTTTAAATATTTATTATAATTAAAATATTATTATTTTATAAATTCTACGTTAAAATTAAATATATACTTAATTAGACAAAGAAAGTATTTTGTAATTTTTATTAGTTCAGATATAAAATATATTTTTATTTCTAATTTAAGAACACATAGGCCCCGTTTGGATTGATTTCTGGCAAGAGCTTCTGCTTCTAAAAAAAGTGGTTTTTTTAAAAGCACATTGCCGGTAGCTTCTGAAATAAGCAGAAGCACTTTTCAGTTAAAATTACTGTTTTATCCTTAATAATAATAATAATAATAATAATAATAAATACAATAATATAATATAATATAAAAATAAATAATTTATATATTATATTTTAATACAAATTAAAAAATATAATTAATTTATTATTTTTAATTTATATACTATATTTGGATTAAAATTTAAAATTTAAATACCGAATGTAAATAGGAGTATATGAATTTTGTAATTATACTTAAATTACTAAATATAATTTATAAAATTTTAAAATAAATTATAACATACAAATTATATAATACTCCCCCCGTTCCAATATAGTTGTCTTGTTTTTCCATTTTCGTCCATCCCAAAACAATTGTCTTATTTCCTTATTTAGTAATTGTGGTCCACACTTTATAACAGAATTATTCTTACTTTTCCAGACTACCCCTAATTATTACTTTAATATACTTTTTAAAATTATTCAAAAAGTAAGAGTATTTTAGTCTTTTACCTTCTACTTTATACCCACTTCTAATTAAATACTATTATTCCTTAATTCCCGTGTCCACTCCCAATAAGACATCTTTTCTAGGACGGAAGGAGTATTATATTATCCTTAAATTAAAATTTTAAAATATAAATAATCAAAATTTAAAAGTACATTTTTTATACTTTAATTTAAAATCTTTAAATATAATTTATAAAATTCAAATTAAATTATAAAAGTGTTATAGAAAAATACTAGTATTATATTAACCGCATGTCCTTTTAAGTAATTTTAACAGTTTAAAAAGTACTTTTAACTATATAACGTCTAAACAGTTTTTTACGAAAAGCTGCTTTTATAATAATTTATCCAAACACAAAATCGAACTGTTTCTGCTTTTGGCTTCTGCTTATTTTATAAGTCAATCCAAACGGACCCTAAACATTGTAACATATTCCAAAATTATATTTATTTAGATTAATATCACTATGCCAAATAAAAAATTTTCAAAAAAGAAAAATGACACGTATAAATTCAATCAACGACTCCCCTCGTCTCAAAACAATAGAGACATTTTGGATGGATACAAGAATCAATGAATAACAAGGTGGAAAAATGTTTCTAACTGACCTGTCGCGCGGTCAATCAAATATCTCACCTACTCCGTGATCACAATTTAATGTAATATAGGGGAAGGGATCGTCTCCACAGAGATTGTGTGATTCACTCTTTCGTGTTCTAATGTAGTAAATAAAGGGGGATTTTTCTTTTATTATCTAATTAAAATAAAATAACAAAGCAATTAAATTAAAGGGGAACTGACTATTAAGGGGATGTCTGGCTCAAGGGATGATGCAGTTATGGCACTTGTGTTCTATCATTAATTCAATTAAATTAATTCTTATTAAAGTATCAATAAATTGGTTATAGTTATCAACAAGCTCTGACAACCAATTTTTCCTTACAGTGTAGGTAATTAAGGTACGACCGTTAACTACCCATAATTAAGCAAATAAACCTAGGTGTGCCCATAAGAATATTGCCTAACCGCATTCCAATCTAGAAAAACCCAATTCAAAACAATTACTACCTAAGAGAAGCAATTAGATTTGATTGTCTAACCCCCGGGAAGGAACTATTCAACCCGGTTGTCACCTATTCAAGTGCGAATACAATTACGGATATCCTACTTGAATTGACTTTAGATTATCAGACTAATTTAAATATCGGTACCAAAATATTCAATCAATCTAACAATCACAAACGCTATTCTCAGAATTAGACAAATATTGATAATCAAAAAGAACTTTTATAAAGAAAATAAAAAATCTCCAAAACAAAAGAACCAAAATATTATCACCCCTCAAACCAGAAAAGTATCTACTCCATAATTAAATAACAAAGAACAAAAGAGAAAGATGAAGTCATAGTGGGA